TTGAAATGTGAATTCGGTGTACCTTCCCTCGAAGGACTCATATCGGATTCCATATTTTTCAACCTCTCAAAAGCATTTGATAGGGTCCCACACGTCCCACTGCTCCACAAACTCGAGTCTTACGGGATTCAAGGGAAAATCCTTCGCTGGATCAAGGCGTTCCTATCAGAGAGATCATTCCGAGTGAGAATAGGCTCGACCTATTCCTCTCCAGCGCCGGTCTCCATTGGAGTTCCTCAAGGCTCCGTCTGGGGACCACTCCTGTTTCTGATCTACGTCAATGGCCTCCCAGACGTTTTTGCGAGTTCATATCTACTTTTTGCGGACGACTTGAAATCCTGGAGTTCCAATGCCAGTGCCTCCACGTGGATGTAGACGCCGCCAAGCAGTGGTTGTTTGACTAACACCTTCCTCTGAATGATGAAAAGTGCGTCCATGTATCGTTTGGAGGGGATTCCGCGAATGCCTTTGTTATACATGGCGGAAAGGGACCAGAAAACATCAGGAGGATAGATACCAAAAAGGATTTGGGCATCTGGGTCTCCTCGAACTTGTTCTTCTTACTGCGCCATGAGAAATCGGCCCAAAATGCATTCGCCATTTTACGGATGGTCCGACACACCTCGAGTATTACTGGCATGGACTTCCAAATACTCTATGGGGCCTACGTCAGACTGCTCCTGGAGTATGCCAACCAGGTTGTCTACTCAGGACGCACGAAAGACATCACCCTCATTGAGCGTGTCCAGCGGGCCGCTACGAGAATGGTTACAGGCCTCAAATCCGTGGACTACGAAACACGTCTCGAGATGTTTGATCTCTTTCCCCTGGAGTAACGTCGCCTCCGAGGGGACCTGATTCTTACTTACGCCCTGTTTGAACAAAGCTTGGCAAATAGGTTTTTCACAGTTGACCCAGCAAACACCTGGCGGGGACACAGTGAGAAAATTTTCATGCCCAGAGCACACATTCATTAGACGACCGACAAGAACAAAACCGACCCGGGAAACTTGGGCAAAAGCCTCCATCCTGTGTATCAGTCCGTGAATCCGTGTATCTGTGAAGCCTGTGTCTCACCCCCGGCGTGAACCTGATGTTCATCAATAGTGACTCTCACTGAATCTCGTGAATGTGTCGAATTAGCTGAACTTATATCCAAATTTCCCTCATCTTATATACATAATGACAAACCGTCCCACTCCCGAAATCGGTAGTAACAAGAAAAAGTTGGTCTCTCTGCCACCGCTACTCATTCAGGGTTGCAAATAATTCGCTCCATCCCTCTAATGCTTTTAATGTCAGCATACCAGCCTAAATTTATCGGCTGTCAGTGAACTGCCTCGTATCGGCGTAGGGGATCATATACTGTTTGCATCAGCTATCGCCCACCACCTTCATTGGACGAGGACGACATATTCCATCAAACGTCCTCTAACAGTAGTGCAGCTCAACCGCTAAACTTAAGGCTTCGCTGGCCAAAACCCCCTAAAGTCATTTTAGTGTCACGCTTATAAGCAATTCCAATTTGCTCCAAGGGAGATCCACATCGTCAAACGACTTTCTGAGTACGCCGATGGCAACTAAATTTGACCCTAATATTACCGCCTGAGTAAACCCGGGCAGATCATCCTACTCCCCGCATAAGTGAACGCGCTATGCTCTTCAGGGGTCTGTGCTATTTTCATCTACTGTACATATATAGGCCCGCGTGTTTTGTCCACTATCAAGATTTTGCTGGCATAGAATCATACTCTGGCTCACAGTGTCGCAAAGCGTTTCGGCGGCGCGAAAACATTGAAATCTGCTTGAAACGTTTTATTCTCACTGGCTAAGACGTGCCGGGACTGTCACGGTAAACTACAGTACAAAAGTAGGTCATCTATACCTTGATAATCCGGTACACATGGTGTAAAGGATTTCGGGATCCACCTCGCTTTCCACCCGTTCCCTGCTATCACAAGGTAATACAATAAACAATAAAGAGGTATGCCACGTGCCTCCAGTGTTGTAGGCACCCCCCGTTGTTAATTTAAGGGCTTCAACTGGTGAATACCAAAACGGACGCACATGGCCCCACAACCACATTTTCACCTTATCACAACACTATTGAAGACACGTAAAATGCACGCAGATTTAATTATGTTCCCCACCTTGTTGTTGCCCCTCCGAGCATACACTAACTTCGTTTTTTAAATGAGAATAAACCACTCTTCGAGCTTATCAAGGTAAATGTTGTTAGGTTTCGCTATCCTGTGGCCAACCTGCCTCAGACGTGTATGGTTTTCGGGTACCGTTACGATTTACTAGTTCCTGAAGCGGTATATGGGGGCCGGTGTGGTGTGTACAATTGTATTATTTTATTTGTTTATTCGTGATACCACACTTGTTGAGCAAGCCCCGTTTGAGCGGTTTTGCTTTTGGGATTGTGTGCGTAAATCGTGTCCAGAATAAGTGCTGAAAGCAGCCAAATACGTCATTGATCCCGGACGTTGATCCCAATTCAAATTTCGGAATTTCGGAAGCGATGTGACCAAAATACGAAGTGGCAAAATGCTCCATAGTTTGTCGCATCTTGTAATGATGACTTAGTGAACAGTGATTCTGATATAGTTGTAGATTGTAACATTTTTATTCATCGGCCTAATTCGTTATCTCCGTACCCACCCTAGGCCGAGCACGGTCAGTAATGCAAGGTTAGTCTGGCATCCGGTAGGGATCCTGTCAAAATTAGGTTGGAAAATGACATGCGAGAGGAAGAGCCCACGATAGAAATGAACATGGAAAACATTAAACGAGGCCGGTTAAATGAAGGATGACGCTATTTGTTTATGGGTCCTCTGATGAGGACAGGTAAGTCGCAGTTGAATGTGAATGTCCAAAAGTTTACTTCAAAGGCCAACTTGGAGGCAATGGAATGTCCGCGGCTTCCCGTATGTCCGCGTAGAAAAAGTGTCACAGCTGCGGCGAAGGAAACAGATTGTTTGCATACTGAGAAAAACGCCGCTATATCCGCTACTGTGCTGTCGGACAAGGATATGAATGTGTTTAATGATGACTCCATAAGATTTAAGGAGTTCGTGTCTCCCAGCAAAGGGTGCGTGATCGACTGTTTGACAATAATAACGA